TGCCATTTTATAATTATCCACACTAAGTCTTATGCTCTAATTATTTTTCATGTTTCTAAGCTTTCTGTTGTTGGTCTGTAACTGGGTGGTCCCTAGGAGAAGGGAAGTTCCAGGTTCCCTGCCCCACCCAGAAGGAGGGTGGAGCTGAGCAGAGAAAAAGGAGAAAGGAGAAGAGAGGGAGAAGGAAGCCAGATGGAGAAAAAGACGGAGACCTAGGGAAGCCACATGGAGCAGCAAGCATGTGATGAAGAAACCATGCTTGTTTCCTGACCCTGGACTGGTTAAGGCAGATGTGGGTGAGAGACCTGTAGGGAGGTGACCATGGCAGTGTTTATATTGATTTTGATTTTGCTCTTTTCCTCCCAGATTTGTCTGGCCATTTCTGACCCTTTTCCATGGGTCCTGGCCAGAAGGCGCTTTAGTCTTGTGGCGGCTTTCAGGCCTTGCTTTGGGCCAACCCTTTTGGGTTGACTTTTGCCCACGAGGGGATGGGTAACTTCAGGTGTTTGATTTTCAAGTTATATTCTTTGTGTTCCGTATTGTATATTCACTGTATTAAAGTCACTTTTCATTAAAGCTTTATATGTTTTGTCTTGTTGCGGCGGATGGCAGAACCCACTTAGAGCAGGCAGGTTTGGGGGCTTCAGGGGTGTCCCTCTCCCCCTGTCCTCTAACAGAATTGAGGTGCTCTATAACAGGTCTTTAATAAGAGACAATCAACAATGCGTCAGCATCCTGGAGGAAGGCAGATTGGGAGGGAGGAAAACATAGGAAGACTTAAGATTTGCTTCTATTTCCATTTTTTCTTAGTAAGCCTTACTGCACATCATTATTTTTCCTTTCATTATTCTTTCCAGGAGGTCCTTTTATGTGTTTGTATTCCTTTCTTGGTTAGTCCTCAGGCAGATTATTGTTATAAGGTTTATCAGCATTGGGTATTGTTCTTAAATTTCCCTAATGAAGTTCCTCTTTGAGCCTTGGGGCCTGGTGTGGCTCCTGCATTCCATGCACATGTGCAAAAAACCACTCTGTCCCACTTGGGATCTGCTCGTCATCATTGGTCTCATTCCATTTCGGTCTGGTATTTCCTATTGTTGTTTACATGAAACGGAATACTTTGTAAGTGGGAATATTTCACACTGTTATAATTATGATATTTACTTACTTTGCAGGCATAAGGCTTACATATAACATTCCTCATTCTGTATGTTTCCACATGCATGTCAAGTTTCGAGAGATTGAATTGGCACAATTGGAAATCCAGTTGGAAGATGATTAACATTTCCCATTTACAAAAGCAAAATTCTTATTTGATGTTGAAATATTCTACTCCCAGGAATGGATAAGGAAACATGTGAACTGGCATATGAAACTTCTAGCCTGTATGGTCTTAGGTCTTCTCCAGGATTTCATGGCCCCCCTCTATTTACTTCATTAACTCTTTTTCCACATTATGTTTGATCTGGTTTTGTTTTCGAACATCCCATGGGATTCTTGCTTGACACACGGAGATTGAATTAGGTGACCATCTCCCACCCTCCTCTGTAACACGCTGTATTTACTTACCTTGGATTCCATCAAATTAGTAAAGTAGAGTCAGTAGACTCATTTCCTCATTAGATTACAGTTTTCTGTAGTTGAGGGATTATAGCCTGTCTGCTTCCTCTTTCTGGGGTTTATCTTTTTATCAGCTCCTATCACCAAAACCAGAAGTCTCACCTGACCATCTGGACCCTGAAGGCTCTTTCTTATCTGTTAACTCTGAAATGTCTTACCTTCATTTTCATAATCCTGGTTTCCTTCACTTTATACTTCTAATAGGATATTCATTCTAATAGAATGTTCTTTTCTTCCACTGTTTCCAATAAGATCCTATTATTTAGCATTGCCTGCATCCAGCTAAACTGTGCCAAACATATGCATAAACATATATACATATGGACACACACATACATGTATCATACCAATTTATGTATGCAAGTGTATGTATTAATGAAAATAAAAATCTGATATTTGGTAGAAAATTACTTATATAAAAATGCTTGCACATTTATTGAAAATGTTTGTCTTTACTTAAGCTAAAGGCTTCATCTCCTCATGTTTTTTTTTTTCTCAGAATGCTTCAATTTTCCTGTTCCATGTTTTTAATTAGAATAACCATTACCTAAGGTAATTACTCTGAAAATCCCTATGTTGGGATATTTTAATCTACCAACACATTCAACTTCCAGTATTCCAAGTTAAACAAGCAGATTTCCCCTATTTCACTAAAATTTCCCTCATAACATGTAACCTCACTCTCACTTATATTACATGTGTGTGAAAGTTCATGAAGTGGTAGGTTTCTGTTTCTCTTTTGCACTTGCATATTTACCATTTACTAACCATATGGATTTTCATCCTCACTTAGTAGTTATCACTCACATTTCACTGGGATTTAGTGCTATCTTCCTACTGAGAAACTGCAAACCTCTTCGTCCCATTTTGTGCTAATCAGTATTATTTCTAACAAAGTTTCACTGGAAGCAAAATCTAGCAATAATCAGACAATAGCATTAAATCATAAATAAACAATATTTTAGTGAGATTGAGGAGTTGGGGTTAAAGGAGACAAAAATGTACGTTCATGCTTCAACTGCAGTCAAAGAATTTGGAGAAGTGCTAGTATCCAAAATAGTTGTGGAATAGCTGAAAAACATAATGCATTCTTTTCTGTGGCTCAAATATATTCTGAAGTCAATTCAGAACTTTGATGACGACGAGAGCACATGCAAATTCTCACTGAACATTTTTTCCCTATCATTTCTGAAAAATAGATGATATGATTGCTTTTCTTATACTTCAATACTTAAAACAAAAACAAAAAATAGTGAGATACCATCTCACACCAGTGAGAATGGCATGTATTAAAACAATTAGCAACAACAAATGTTGGTGAGGATGTGGAGGAAAAAGAAATCCCCTACACTGCTGGTGGGGATTCAAACTGTTAGAACCACTATGAAAAGCTGTTTGGAGTTTTCTCAAACTACCTCAAATGGAGCTTCCACATGACCTAGCAATCCCACTCCTAGGTAACTACTCAAAGGACACACAAACACTGATTCAAAAGGATACCTGCACCCCTATGTTTATTGCTGCTTTGTTTACAATAGGGAAGACGTAAAATCAACCCAAATGCCCAAAAACAGAGGACTGGATTAAGAAGATGTGGTAAATATATACAACAGAATATTACTTAGCAACCAAAAAGATAAACTCATGCCTTTTGCAGTAACATGGATAGAGATGGAAGAGATTATACTTAGAGAAATAAGCCAGAAAGAAAAAGAAAAATACTGGATGGTTTCACTCATAACAAGAGTGAAAGGCATCCGGGAAAAAAAAAAAAGCAATTGTAATATAGTAAAAACGAAAAACAGCATACAACTATAAACCAGAGACATTTTACAGGAGGGAGGAAGTAGAGGGGAACAGGACCAAAATTGGGGTAGGAAGAGTGAATAGAACTGTAGTGATGGCACATGGTAAATTGGTGGTGGGAACTCCATGGGGACTACAGCTGAGATGATAAAGTGAACAAAATGAAGAATGATGTAAAATAAATAAATAAATAAAATAAATCACAAGACATGCAAAGCTTCTGAGACAATAATGTAAGGCCTAGCAGAATGAGGTATGAGAATTTCTAGAGCTTTTCTCCAAATGGGTTTCCCATAGCGCTAGTCTCACCAGGCAAAGGGTCCAACATCATCTAAGACCTGAAAAGGTTGAAAATGGAACCAAGTTGTAAAGACGTCTCTTTACATATTCAACAAAAAAACTTTCCACAATTTTATCTTGATTTTTAAACTACCTATTAAATTCATAGTTTGAGATACAGTAGAACACCAATAATGTAAACTAGGAAGGATATGTGAATGAAACGAATGCAGATTACAATGCTTGTAAGAGGTTTCAAAAGCTTGGCTTACTGCCTTGTACTCTTTAGCTTGAAAAACCTAGAAAAAGACCCTTGGACCCAGATTTAACTAAGGATACCAATCCATTTATGATGTAAAAACTATTTCTATTTTAACCACTCTTAATACTTTTTTTAGTTTTTTATAGTTTTAGCACAGTATTTTAATACCAGCAAAGAGAAAGAATATACAAAAAAACCCAAAAACAACAAACAAACCAAAAAAACTGGTAGGTCAGAAATTCTACACGTTGTCTAGAAAACATTGTCTAAAATCTTCAAAAAATTGTAGTTATCAAAAAGCTTCCTATCAGGCCCTTTATTGGCCCAGGGTGCTATTGTGCCTGAACTAAGGACAGAAGGTGGCTTAAAAGGATTGTTAGCGACCTGAGCCACGGCCACTGCCACTATATTTGAACCACAAAACAAAAGCACCTTTCTTCAATTAATGACTATGGTATTTTAATAGCCATGGAAAAGATGTTTTTCTTCTGTCTAGACTGCTGCAAGGAGACTATATGTGGACTAGAAGATGCAAAGACAGGTTACCTGTTTTTTTTTTTTTTTTTTAGTAAAATAACCATATGGCCATACAATTCTCTTGCATTTGCTTCTGGAATTTTGGACAGCTTTGCAGTCCTCTAGTGTACCAGGTTCCTTCTCTGAGCCTGAAGAAAATTCTTTCTGAGGGGGAAGGTGAAAAGAAAACTGCACTGAATTCATGGAGGTCAGAGTCCTTGCCACCATCTTGAGTCACCATGTTGTCACCTCTAGCCCCCCCAACACCCCCCCCTTCTCCTGACCTCATCTGACCTGGATTTCTGCGGCTGCAGATGACTTCACATTTCTGTTGGAAGTGAAATTTAGCATGGACTCTGCTAATTTCTCCTTAAAGAGATAAATAATTTTTTACTAATGGAGTGCATTAAATATTATTTGTAGATGAAAGGTGTTTTTCCAATATTGATGTTTTCTCTAGTTAATGAACAGTAATCAAGAGAGTGCAGTGTATTGTTTTAATAAAATTTTTGCACTTTTTTTGTCATTTGCAGGTGTTAACATAAACACAAATTCCATAAAGCAATGATTGTTTCTCATTTTCTTGATCACTGGTATATATTGTCTTTAATCACAAATATTATTTATTTTCATTGTATTATATTAATGTAGCATTACTTATTCTAATGCTATTTATGTTCATAGCTTACATAAGATACAATGAAACTCTGAAACTTATTGCTCTCTTACCAAGCATTTTTTAAAACTTTTAAGTCAATGTTTCTATTTTCTTATTTCCATTTGTATAGGCTTTTACAAAGTATAAACTTTTTTTCCTTTTTAGAGAGATTTTGATGCTGTAATTGTACTTGACAGTGACAAAGAATGAAATACTTAAGAAGTAAAACAAAAAAAGGGAATTTTTTTCTACCCTGTCTGTAAAATGACTTTCAACATCCATTAGTTTAAAAAAAAAAATTGTCATTAGCAATTTTGAGGCAATTAAAAACATTTACTTTCTTTCAATCCTTATCCTTACTTATATTCTAAAAATAATTAAGTAATTCTGTAGACAAGACATTTCTATTATCTCTATCTGAAAGTCTGTATGGGAGAAGTAAGGTCAGATCTAGAAAGCAGTGCCCATGGAGTGGAATTTAGATTTCAAATTCATTTTATATACTTCATCAGTGTTTTTTAGTCTCTACTATACATCAACACCAATTCCTTTGATTGTTGCCCTACTCATTGCTGAATGAAAGAGTGAATTTATGTCATAAAATATTAATGCAGACTCTGTAAGCAGTAGAAGGGTCTATTTTTGGTTTGTCCGTAAGCAAGTCTGTTTTACATAAATGGCTTTTTTACAAATTTGAAATGTGAATATATTTTATTTTTTTCCCAGTGAGTACACAATACACAATTCTTTGACAATACTATTAACCAATTTTATGCCAATTTCTTTTCTGTTCTAACAACATTAAATGAAACACATTAAGATTTTGGACGCTGTTTGGTGACTTAAGCTACTGTTAAAAAAATCCATCTATAAAACAAAGTATAAAAGTCTACTCACGGCCACAAAGTGCCTTCTCTTGCAACACTTTAACGTCACAATAAATGTTTTTTAAAATTATGATAAGAAAAATTAGTAAATTGAAAGTCATTTTTTAAAAATATGGTGTTTCATTTGAAGTACACATTATAGAGAAGCAAATGAAAGTAACTTCACCTCTAAGATAATGTGGAAGGACATGTTGCTTTACACAATTCTTGTTATGAAATTCTAGAAATACAATATACAGAAGCAGATGAACAAGTTAATGAAGGTCATGATTCTGCATATCTTTAATACTGACACATTATTACTTTGCAGTGGTGAAGAAAAACCAGTTTAAAGTTCATTGGTATTTTGATAATTAATGGTCAATGAACAATTACATAAATTTATTGACTAGAAATTTGTAGGTGTTCTATCAAAGCTCATACAAATGTTCAACTTGAATTACATTCAAAATAGATTTCAGTACCTATAGCCTTAAACGATGACAGAGAACACCAGTTAAACCATCCTGTTAGCCAAAGCAAGTAACCTTACAGTGTTTCTACTTCCCTTTGGTTGTATGATTCCAGAGATGTCGTTCACTATTTTCTCTGTTCTCCCTTGAACTGGATTCAAATCCTGTGACACAATCAGTTGTTTTCATGTCCCTGTTCTTTCCCACTTTAAATATGGCATGGAAAGATCTGAAGAAGGGGTAGGGTGACTGCCTGCAAACACTCGGGCATCCCTGAGTTGGGGCAGATTTAGCTATTTCCCAGTAGACTTCAAGTGTCATGCATGAAGCTGCGCTTATGTTGGGCATGACTTCACAGCCTTGTTCCCTGTGAATGCAAGATAAGATTACATTCTCTCCCACTCAGATATCCCGGTGACAGCTTATGCAAACTTCTGTTTAGACCTGCAAAAGAGTGAGCATACTGAAATTCTAATCAGAAGCCTTTAATAGGCCACAGAACAAAAAAATCATCACAGCTGTCCTATGTGTTTTCATTCTTCTAGTGACATTTGACTTAAACTGATTAGAAGCTTTTACATATAGGAAGTTGATTTGTTTTTAGTAGTGTTCCTGAATTCATTTGGATAGCCATGACATTTTATCTCATTATCTACATGAGGTTGATTTGGGGTGATCTGACTGATTTTTTAAAACTAGACTTAACTGGGAATATGACCAGTCTAGAAGATCATTCATAAATCTACAGCATTGGCATAATGAAACCATAGCAGCTATTTATGCATGGAAGACAATCAGCTAGGCAGGATGCAATTTCCCACCTTAATCCACAAGTCACAAGTTTTGGTTTATTCATCACATATAACTGTCAGTTACCAAGTGTCAAATGCTATGTGTAATATGTGCAATGAAATAAGGTTTTAGACTAATTGAGGTATAGTGGAACATACTAAAGAGGGGACATAAGTGAACACAGTTGTGTTTGCTTTGAAATAGAAAGAAGTGAAGAACTATAGAAGTAAAAAAAAGCTTAATTCCTCACATATCACAGTTGTAAGTTGAACTCATTCTTTCCATAAATGTCTCATCTTCCCAGTCTCTTTGACCCAGATAAATTGAAGCTGCATCAATATTTAGGCACTGGTGGTACAAAGATGATAACGGGTTTAGTGTGTGTGTGTGTCTCAGAATTGTTTTTCACTTCAATGAAGAAATACCCTACATGCAGCAAAAAGTGGGGTCTGTACTCTTAATGTTCTGTTTGTTCCTCTGTACTGGCCTGTGTAGATGCAGTCTCATGGAATGGAAAAGATGGAAACATCGTATTATCTCATCCCTTTGTGATCACATTTCACTTACAGTTAGTGCCTGAGCCCATAATGCAAAGAGTACAAATTGTCATTCCAATGGATCAGATTTTCTAGAATTGACCCTAACGATTACATCACATATTATATCAAGTACCAATTACTGAACATGTCCTAGGGGAAAGATGAGAAAGTATAGGCAAGTAAAATTTACAACCGTGTAGGTAGCACGTGGGAAAATGTCACAAGTAGGAATTTCAGGAAGGTTCTTTTTTACTTGACTGATTGACTATACATGTACAGTAGCTAACATCTTTCAAAGTCATATTCATATTGATCATGTATGTCACCGATAGCCAGGAATTTCTTGTTCTCAAAGTCGTGAAAACAAATGAGGCAGGACACTGCTATTAATGTCCACTTACGAGGTTTGGTTTTATTTAAAAAGTGTATAAACATGCATTTTTCTCCTTTAAAATTTTTTTTCAATTTACTCATTCAAAATGGGTCAAACATATTTTTGTTGGTAGCCAATTTCTGAAAATGTACCATAAAATATTTAATCCAATAAATCTACTTACTGTGAAATGAACATACTCTGAGCACTGCTTTTTTTTTTTTAAGCACTTACAATTTGGCTATATATTTGGTGGCATAAACGTCATTTCTTAATCAAATAAAACACAAAATTGTATCTATACGGCATTATTTTTCAAGAGTCATGAACTGAAGTGATGCAGCTCTATCCTCTAGTGTGTACTGTACATGTATTAGAAAGATGAAACAAGATATTGTAATAGAATTTTTATATTTGGAAGCAGCCCGAGTATGTCCTAATAATAAATTGCCTCTTTACTATTTGCTAGATATCTTAGAGTTCATTTTGTTTGTTTCCTTGGGGAACTTCATATTGTATTCTGACTTAATGAGTTGGAGAGATTAATTATGGTAATTCAGAAAATGCTTTTAAAATAACTGTAATATAAATACAGCTCTTGTGAAACACCTTAATTTCAATTTCTTTTAGATTGTAATTCTCAGGTGGGTCAATTACAATGACAGGTAAGGTTAACTCAGTATAGCTTTAATTTCTGTTTACTGTGTTAGCAAGTTTAGTACATCTTTGCTACCTGTGTATTTTAATGCTTATTCAGTCTTAGATGTAAACTCCCTTCTTTTGACCCTTGCTTTTGTCAATAGTAAAAGCCACCTTTCTCTCTCTTTTTATTGACTCAGTCTTTGATGCTCAAAGAAGGCTTCTCCAACACCACAATTCCTTTGCCTCTTCCTATTTCTACACCCCAACTGAAAACCATCTAATGGACTGGTTACGACCAGCATTATCCAAACTAACTTACAGTACAGAAACTCCCTTCACATTCAGTCTTTTTCTTCATGTCACGAGGAGTAGAGATTTGTGCTTATCACCAAATAAAATTGCAGTGCAAAATTTAAACATAAAAGTTACACAATTAAAAGTTAATATATGGCACCACAGCCTATTAATTCACATATAGTACAACAGACCAATAAGAACAGACAATAATATGAACAGAGCTAAAAAGATGGAGCTTGCATAGCAATGCACAAAAGAAATTATATACAGAGGAAAATCCTTTTCTTCCTGGAGGGCGAGTTTTGTTTTCTTTCTTTTTTATATACTCCTGACAAGAAAGAGTTAAGGTGGGTGGTGTACTTAAGAGAAGAACACAAGTAAAATATCTGTGGGATATGTGTGGCTGTGTGTCTTTACATTGCATTTACAGTTGTTGTAATAGTACATAAATAAAGAAATTGTTCATTGCACTGTTTAGTGTCATCACTTCCATGAGTTCAGACCTGCTGGTCCTTCAGAGCAGCTTTGCATGTCTCCTCTCAGTTACTCTATAAAGAGATTAAAAAAAAAAATCAGAAAGTCTTCCCTTAAGTTATATTTTTATCCTCATCAGAATAACAAAAAGCAAAGCAAATAAGATGATAAATAGAATGTCATCAGATTTTGTGAGTTTGAAAATTTAAGACATTTTACTTGAGGGAGATGACAGGGGGAAGAGAAAGAAGCTCTGTAGAATTTGGAGACTTACAACCCAAGCAGAGCTATTTTTATGTTTTTTGTGAGTCAAGTAAAAGATTAAAAAATATCCAGTCGTTGTGAGTCAGATTAAATATTATAGATATATCTTAATGCTAATCATATTATTATTAGACCATAATGACTCGTATCAATTAAGGACTGTAGAGTTTTGAAAGTACTTTTACTTTTCATTATCTCATGGCATACCTATGACATGCACATAATAGTAATTATTTATCTAATGTTTAGATAAAGGTTAGAGAGAGAGAGAGAGAGAGAGAGAGAGAGAGAGACTAGGAAAGTAGCTAATTTTTCTTCTCAAATAACCAGTAAATGGTTGAGAAGATTAAAAACCAGGTTTGATCTCTCAGTAACATTTTTAAATTGAATTTAGAAGAGCAACTGAATATTCAGCAAATGCAACTCTAATCGGATACAAAAATTGATAACTTTTCTCATAAAATTAATATGAATTTCAATGTTTTTCACTGTGACACCCCATGGCATTCTCTTTCCCTGTCACCTAGTATTTCATATTTTGAAAATAGATATTTCACTAGTTACCATGCCATTGGTGTACTAAAATAGAGGAAATTCTTTATATGTTAAGTAAAACTGAATTATCAACTTAGCAAGTTTGACTCCCTAATTTGAAAAATATGTAAATAAAAAGCAATAGGGAGTGAGAAATTCCAGAAGAGGCTATTTAAAACTGCTGTAGGACCAATAGGCTTTCTTTTCTTTAATGGATTCAGTCAATAAGGCAAAAAGAAAAAAAAGACAAAGTAGGCTATATTTAATTAACTTGCAATTATCAAGATTAATTACTACATTTATATACTTTATGTGTCGTAGAAATTATACTTGAAATAGAAGAAATGTTTGTTTAATTGACTCCTGTAAATAGCCACGGTCTGTTAATGTCAAACTTGCTGAAAATCAGAATTGATTTTTTTTTCTCATGTAACAAAGCAAATCTACCATTTGTTTATTGTTATTACTGGTTTTAGGGCCTGTTACCCCCAATATGGCACCTCAGCATATCTTAAGCTGAATAAGTTTGAGAAAACGGTGCCGTCTTTCTCACAGATTATAAAACAGCTATGTGAAAGAAACCCTCTTCATACCCGAAGAAAAAAATCCTTATTACCAGATGGAGTTTGAGCCAACAAATCTACACAAATAAACCTGTTAAATCTGTTAAACTACAAATAAACCTGCTAAACTATTATCGTCCTAGTTATGTTGTCATTATTTACTTACACCTTTGGGCTCAAATCCCCTGTTCTTATCAAATCTTCCCAAATTTACTGTTTCTTTGTCAGAGGTACAAAAGTTTCCCCAGATCTGATTATTTCTTTGGGCCTTTATTCTCTTGCAAATGTTTCCATGTATATGCAAACATTCAAAAATACGTATGCTTTATGTGCTCCATTAGTTTCTCATTTCAGCTAATCTTTCAGACTGAGTCAGGAATCTTAAAAGGGTCTAGAACGACTTATTCTTCCTTGACATCAACACGATGCTCTTTTTGAATCACTGTGCTTTTTTTCAATGCTCTGAAGCACTTACATAATTCACCTGTAAACTGTCCTTGACTACTGGAGCCCATGTATCCTATGTCAAGAAGGTCGCTGGCGTTGCGCTGGAGGTTGCCCCTCAATGCCTCTGCTTTCCTAGGTCCAGTGGATCCTTTTGAAGAAGCTGTTCCTGATGAGCTGTGACCGCCTGGGGAAGGAAAACTGGGCTTGCTATAGGGCACCAAGGTCTCCTCTGAAGAAAAAAACACAAAGGGCTAAGTCGAAAAACAACATGGAGACAAAACCAACCTAACCTAGAATACAAAGCTCAGATGGGCTATTTTACCATTTCACTCTTCAGTAAAACTCAAAATACAAAGTTAATAAGGCCCATATATTAAAAAAAAAAATTCCATGTGCAAGCAACATTTCCTACAATAAAAACTGAAGCAAGACTGAATTAGAAGATCTGGGGATAAGTACACAAAGTTATATATCATTTTCAAAATTTAAATTCATTATAAAACAGTTGCATACAATGAACCATATTGTTTAGCAAGAGTATTTCTGAGAATAATTTCTGGATTTCAATGAGGCTCCAATTTAATTTTTCCATTAAGATTGAAGAAACGTGGTTATTATTTTAGTTTAAATTATAACAACATATTCTTAATCAATTTAGGTAAAGAACTATTAGTTAATAAAATTTCTTAAATTTTCATTATTTGTTGGGAAACAAATACATTATTTGAAAGGCTAAGCATTTCCTTTCCTTAAAGAGAAACATTTGTTATTTTAATAGATTAGGTCAACATTCTTCTTATATGCCACGTCGCTACATAAAACCCATGATGTACTTTACTAGTACTCCATATTTTCTTTCATCCTCATTACTTCTTCCTCTTTATCTTTTCTCGTCTGTCTTTCTGTCTGTCTATCTCTCTTTTTGTCCATTTCTATTTGTTCTTTACTTTCTCAGTGTGGGCTATTTCCCTCCTTGGTAATCTGTAATGATGGGGATGACATGATTTTTCCCTCATTTTGAATGATGTAAACCTCCTGTTTCACTAAATCTAAATTGTCACCTTTGCATTACTGCATAATTATATTTCTTAGTGTTAGGTAGTACATTGTGACAAAATATAATTATTGAAAATACACACAAGTAGAGGACTAAAAAAGATTGAGTCCCAATGAATATATGACCGTGGAAGGAACCTTTCAAATGATGTGTGTGTGTGTGTGTGTGTGTGTGTTTGTGTGTTTGTGTCAGGACGTATGTTTTCAATAAATTCTGACATGAAGGGAGGCCACCAAAAAAATGTGTTCATATAATAGGGTCAATATCCCTCTCCCCCCAAAAAAGGAAATCCAACCACAAATCATGAAATTTATTTTTTAACATTTCCAGAATTTTGATTTATAAACAAGAACATTTCCCATTGAAGTGTTAACAGTCAACTAAATGTAATCATTTAGAGAAAGTACAAGCCTACTTTTCTAACAGGAGGTTTCTGTGTCTGGGCACTGACTTGCAACTTTATTTCAATTAATTCACCTATTTGCATTGAAGTGAATTCTCCATGCAAAATAACTAGTCACTCCTGTCAAAAAGGCCAGCTGGTTGAAGGAAAAGGTTAAATGGACCTTTTCTTTTTTTCAGACACCGAAATTTACTGGTGTTAAACAAACTCAATATAAACTCTAAAAGGCAAATAATCAAGCTGTCTCCTGTGCACTACAGATGAAGTTCCAAGGTCTGTTGGGCTCAAAGAGTCTATTCAGAGGCTAACGGGAGGGCCCCCTGGAATCAGTCTTAAGGAATCTGGTGGTGAGCTCTGTTGAGGAATTCCAACTTCACCTAGTGATTCAAGGCAAATGTGTTTCAGATGCCCTCAAACAACGGTCATTTCTAAAATACCCACAAGGAACAAAATATGGTCAAATTCCACCCTTTCTTGGGACAGTGCAGAACACACCTGGTCCGACACCTTGTTTGTGGAGGGCTTTCCGTCTATCTTCTTGGCGTTCTGTGGCGTTTATCCATTCTTGGGTTTGTCGCTGCCACTCTAGAGGTGTTCTAGCTGGACAATCCAGTGAGCTCTTTGTTTCTTCTAAGTTCGATGCTTGTTGTCTCTCCAGAGAGCTTCCTTTTCTCTCTGTTGAGTTTTCCGCGTTACCAGCATTCTGGCTTGGGCCTATTTGCTGCCTTAAACCCTGACCTGGAGGGGGGTCTGGTGGTGGTGGAAGATCTAAAAATTTTGAATAATATTTAGAATGGACTACAATTTAATGAAAAGTACAGATTTTATTTCAAGATGAAGAAAAAAACCTAAAGCTATCACCCATGCAAAAAGAAATTTGGAGGGGGAGGAGAGGGAGAAGGAGAGGTCAGTTGTTTATATCCCAAATACATATTATTGTTTTATTTACTATTTTTTGTTACAGTGCTTTTAAATTAAAGTCAACCAGTTCATTCGACTGTTATATGTAGAAGTGTTTTCTACTGCACGTTGAGATTAGTGTTCAGGGTTTAAAGGGCAATGTATGGTTCCTTCATATTTAATCAACTGTCCACCCCCACACCCCCAAAGTAGAAAAACCTTGACACAAAATGACTAGAAATACTAGCAGCTGTGTTAATAAAAGGCCCTAGGAAGAATAAGAGCTCTCCTGCCGATCTTGACAGGAAACGTTGCCCTCGGGAAATTAAGAACTATATGCCGTATCATATGCAACATATGACTTCCTTTATCCATGTATGTGGCACATTTAGCAACAGTCAAAGGGTTAAGCTAACATTTATTAAATGCAATTAGCATTATGCCTGACAACCAGTTCTGATTGTTCGTTTCATGAGTTAGCTAATGAGTTACAACTAATATATTATAATCTTCCAATGTATTAATTTTACTAACTAATAACCAGTGTTCAGAGTACAGATAGAACATGCTTCATGGTCAAGAGCAGACAATGCGTTGAGAAAATGTGAGAAGTGGGCTAGATTATTTTTCTTTTCAGAAAAGTACTTTATTACATGTGAAAAAATTAAAGCTGAAACACTTAGCAAAGTTTTCATTTTTAGATCATGGTATCTTTTAAAAAGTCTCTTTGGTTGTGAAATTATAGCCCTCTTAGTCCCTTAAGTATTACTGTATTTCTATTATATGATTTATAGTTATAATAGCTCTGAAATTACTTTGTTGATGAGTCTTATGAATTATTTTCTTTTTATAATTCTCACATATACTATTGCAAAAGTTTTTGTTTATCCTTTTGAGTATCAGTAATTATTTGTTTGAATGACCTAATATCACATATAATATACACATTTATTTCATTAATAGAGGAGATTATAGATAATATAGGTAACACCTTTCTATGCCATTTTTTATAAAGGAGCTCTCATTTACAATAACATTGTCTGAACTTTAAAAGGGAAAAGTATGCATTTCTTGTCCCAAATATAGCTTTCTTAAAAAAAAGAAAAAAGCTAAGCTGTACCTTCCAAAGACTTTCTTAACAAGTTTCATCCTGTCTTTCTTTTCTGAGCAAGATGATATTGGTCTCTGTTGAATTAATAATGATGGCCTCTTCAGCATGTTCTCTGGAAGTGCCTGCTTGGAACAGCATGCCCCGTTCTTATGTATGTTCTCTTGCTAGATTATGAATTACTCATTAGTGAGGGGACTGAGGTTTCTGTCTGGGAGAATAAAGATTCATTTGGGATATTTCTTCCAAAACGAAAACTAATCCAAGATTGAAATACGTGCTTGTTGAGTAAACCACCAACGAGCTACGTATTTCCTTTGTATTCAAAACTGACTTTGTTCAGTATGTATTATTATAAATGCAAATTAATTATTATATTTGAGTTATTGGACTTGGGTTGACACTGGGGAGGAATTACGATTATTTACTTGCAATATAACATATCTTGTCATTGATTTTTATTCTCCATCAGAGCATTTTAATTTTTAAAGTGGGTAAAATGGCATCTGCTTATGCCAGCTAAAATTCTGATTACTATTTAATTTAACTTGAAATCATATGGCTACAGATTAAGTAATATCTTTGGAGTGTATATATTTGAAGAAGTAAGATATTGCATGCACATTGAAATGAACAAATGGGAAGAAAGATGGAATTAAGAATGGCTGTGGAAAAAATAAAAGTATGTAATCGAATATGTTTACTTAAATTAAATTTATTATTCATTTCTTTGTTGAGTCATTTCAACTAAATCAATTCACTATAGAGTCTCTTACTGGCCTACTGAGGATTTGTTATTGTTAGGCACACAGGAGTGTACACATACAAATACACACACACACACACACACACACATACGCCAAAATTATCTCTTTTTTCCCAGTTGAGTCAAAGAAGTAGCAAAGAAATTAAATAGCTTCAGTCTAGATTTCCCTTCCCATGAATTTAGATTCATAAGTACATTTTCACTGGATAATTTGACTTGTTTAGAAAGCATATAAACTTTTACATAACAAATCTGAGTTTTAGATCTTCTCCTGTAAAACATGCTTTCTCTGTGGTGTTTCCCATCAAAATTAACAGCAATTCCATTCTACAGGTTGTTTAAAACTGGAGGCATTTTTTACTTCTCTGCATTACAGCAATATTAATTTCCTTACATCCTCTGAGCTCTATTTTCGTATTATGGCCAAACATTCATGTCATGTCATTGATTTACATTAGTATCATGACTAGCATCCATTCCCTATGCTACTCTGTGAGCTCCTATATACTTTCTATGCTTCCGTGTGGAAACATTCAATCTATCTTAATAGGTACAGTGACTTAACAGTAAAACACAAGTAACAGCATGTTATTTATACTGCCTTACATATAAACACAACACACACACACACACACACACACAAGGTAAGCTGATGCTCACTTCCAATGGTTTCCCATTGAAAGTGAGTATCAATGTCCTTGTTACAATAGCATGAATGTTATACATACATGACCCCGTTTGCTTGTCAGACTTCATATTCAACGCAATTGCTCTCAGTTCTTGTTTTTCATCAAATAAGCTTCAGTCTTCTACTTGCTACTCTCATTTCTTAGAATGATTAATCCTCAGATTAATTGCTCTGTCTTAATTTCTCCTACACTTTTCTCAAATGTCACAAAGGCTTACACGAGCACTCTTACTTTAAAAATAATGGTCTTTATACCTTTATATAATGATCTTTATACTTCTTGACTTCCTTTCCCGTGTCTTGCTCATGTCACTCAATCCCATTATGCATACTTATATTTTCACTTATGCATTTATATTAGTCTTAAACTATCTTTCCCACTAGAATATGAAGTCAAGGGTAGAGTAGGACACTTTGTTTGGTTCCCATTGTTTACCATCAAATAATTGCTTAATAAATATTTGAACAGATTCATAATTAAACTTATTCCCTGGTCAAGTTAGCCCATGGTAGAGCTGGGAAAGAGCACCTTCTCTGTGTAGTTTATTAAGAATAAGGGAAGGAAATCTAGAAAGAGGGACCAAGGGAGAAAAGTTTTAGGACAGAGAATTATCATCTCTGCCTTCTTCATTCAGCACTGTTCAACACACTGGCTTGAATAGGGATAGATGATTTTGATTGAGCAATGCCTGTTTAGGAGAGATTTCATCCAAGAAAGAAGAGTATTTCTTAACCTGTGTATAGTCACTTTGTGACAGATACTGACATTTCCCACAATTCTCAATTCCTGTTATTTGGCACAAAGGATACGTTCTTACATCAACATTTGATGTCATGTGACAGAAATAAGAGAAGTGGTCTGTCCCACTTGTACAAAGAACCTTCCCTCTGACCACCCACATTCTGTCTTCTCCTCACTCAGAAATCATAAAGGCTCCATCTTGAATATAATGATGCCTCAATGCTGCAGAAGGCTCTATCCCACATTAAGTTCAGTGGTGTGACACCTAACCTACATAAGTCATTGTGCTGACGAGAATCAGCTCTCACTGTAAGCTGTGTTTGGGGGTGGGGATAGTTTGGCCTAACAGAATAATTATTAATGTGCTGATGAAATACTACTGTAATATCTATAATGACAAAGTTTGGTGTAAAATGTTACATGCTGGGAGCTACTAAATAGCAATGTTCCCCTCACCAAACACTTTGATTTTATTTACAGTGTCGTAAAATTAATACCAACGCCAGGATTCATTTCACATAAATGCCATGGCATGTTCATTTGATGTGACATGGTAACTTTATGGATAATCTTTAAAGTGGCATCTAAAATAATGCCCTTCTTTCACAATTAAAATGTCTTTGAATTAAACACTTAGAAAGATATGTGAGCTAAACTTTCTTTGCAACATTACTACTTCCAAAGTGTATGTACTAATAACACATAATCCATAAACCCTTTTTAGAATGCTGGTAAACTTGAAAAGTTTGGAACCTATTTTTTTTTTTTAGAAAGATAAGCAATATATTGATCATTCTTTAAGCAAGGAGGTAGCTTGTTTCATGAATCACTCTGGGAAAAACTTACAAAAAATGTTCGAGGAAGCAGACAAAAGCTCTCTATTTGCAATTTACATTTTTTAATCTTCTGTGTATTGTGATTATGATCTTAAATATTTCAGACAAGTCACAGACAAATATATCTGGATTTTTTCTCTTTCCATGACATTCAGAGCAGTAGGTTTATAAAAAAATATTAATTCTGTGATTTATAACAACATATCACTGAGATTTGTAACAGCATATTTAGTAGAAATAAGATGAACACTTTAGAGTGCTTTACGGGCTCAATGTCTCCAGAACATATGAGGCAGAAAGGCAGTGGCAAGTATTTTTGCTCACCACAGGATATCTTTTTATAGAGAATCAAAAACTTGAATGTACCCTTACTTTCAAAGTCCACAGAAACCCTCTGAATGAAAACAATGTAAAAAGGAAGGGCAAATAAGCTTGAAGGCTTTCAAAACAAGTTATGTCTGGACGTTATAGTCTAGCATGTTTGATGACCTAAGTGTGAAGACACAAACTATGTACCCCTTCGCCAAGCCCAACAAAGAACAATGACTACTTTTGCAATTAAGCCTTATTCTGTCTTCTAATAAGTCTAAGAGGCTGACAAAAGCACTCATGACTCAGTTACATCTTCTCAAACCTGACTGCTGAATAGCTTCATCTCTGAGCTAAATATAACTGGTTTTCACCCTAGATGATCAAATCAGAATCTACAGGGGACATTTTAAGTACTTCCAAGGAGGTCCTAATGTGTAGCTTGAGGAAACATTTAATTTTTGGCTCTGGCATTATACTACAAAGTACTTTAAATATATTATTTTACATAGACATTAGAATAAAATTATAGGAAAACTATGTTAATCCATTTTATAAATATATGGGAATTACATTGATAGGAAATAGACCCTATTCTGTAGAAATGAACATTATGTAAGAAGATCCTCCAATAATATCATGTTTCCTGAAACCAGCAGTGTTTAAGTTAAAGACTAGATGCTACAAGTAAAATAATGAAAGGAGACAGCAAATTATGACCCAATGGCCAACTTTTGCTACTCCACCTTTTGTCAATAAAGCTTTATTTGAAATTAGTCACAACCATTTGCTTATTATTTTTTTTTTTCTATAGCTGTACTTGTGGACAATGGCAGTGACCAATCATTGTGACTGGGATGCTAAGATTCTCCAAAGCCAAACATATTTATTATCTCCACCTTTACAGAAAAGTTGATGCATCAGTAGATGCTCTGTAGCATGCTTTTAACCCTGTAAGTCATGAAACTAAAAAAAATGGTTATATTACAAATCACTGTCCTTTCCAAAAGTGACATACACCTAAGATATTTTAATTGAATATCAGACAGAGTCCTACAAGTGCACATAATACTTATGATTTTTTTTTTCCTTAAAGGAGATTGTCCATGGAAAAGTAACATAGAATGCCAGAATGGCAGAAAACCAGTGAAAGTTGGCTTTGTTGATACTTGCTAATATAGAAATAATTCCAGATTAAAAGAAAACAAAACAAAACAGTAGGGTGTTTAGTTTAAAGGACCATACTGCCAGGTTTTTGCCTAGTTATAGAATGAGACACCAGCTAATCTACCATAGCTACTTTAATCTAAGTTAACAGTTGTACAGAACAATCTCTTCAGTGAGGAGAAAAGAGAAGGGAACAAACGTACCCTCTGGCAGGCCCTCCCTTCGATGAGGCAATGCTGGTTGCTGGTCCATTCGCCCGCCCTTGTGTTTTTTACTGGGCCGAGGCCTCTGACCTTGACTCATGGCTGCACTGGTGTTACTGTCAGTAGAAAATGGGCTGGTTGGTCGAGGTCTTTGAGACGAGGTAAAAGCTTTGCCTAAAATAAAAAGCAAAGGAAGGGTGTAAGAAGTTACCATAACTCAGTGCTTTTTAGTGTCTCCTATTTCTGTTCTTACTAAGGCTAACCTCTCAACCTGCCTAGAGATGCCAATTAAAGACAGCCTACACTGGCAGAAAAAAATATAACCCTGCTGCCATTGATTTTGTACCTTTTATAATAACCAACACACTGGCCACTGAAAAAATTCAAGTAAATGAACATAAAACAAAGCCACCAACTGGAAACTTGGTATTACTTGATTATATATTTACTTCACCTTGACAAATGTACTGATATTTTTACAGGCATATGCAAATTCATGCAGCTTTTACTTCTTAAATTAAAGAAGCTATTTCTGAAATAATTCAGATACTGTCTTATTTGTTTAATCTTTCACCCTTGGAGTCTTACAAATTCCCTTGGAGCACAGCAAAATGTCCTGTAGTAATAATACTTGAAATTTTACATGAAAGGTCTGCTGAGGCACATATATTAAATTGACCTTACCACCCATACACATAAATGATGAATTCTGCCTCTTTTAGCCGGAACTCTATAACATCAGTGTATAGGATAGAGAGCAGGTTAAAATCACCTTGCGTATTCAAAGTGCAATAGGTGATTTCTGATGAATATTATTATGTCTGAGCAGACTCCAAATTCTCATTGAAATGAAAAGTGCTAGGTCCTTTTTTCTGGCTTAATGTACATAGGTAAGAAAATTTATTCTGAAAAATGTTAGCTAATAAACTTCCAAGAATTTATGATTATAATACCATGTTTTTTATTATGGCGAGAGGGTTAGTTTATTTATTCTCTTGTGCATGTTTTCATTTCTTAAAACATTATTGTATGTAGTTACATTTTCTTAAGTCAATGTGACATGATACTGCTTAGTGCTTTATTAGCTATTAGCATACATGCAGGAAATGCACTTATGTTTTCTAATTTATTAGTCTCCTTGCACTTTCTCACTGTTCTGCTTATAGTTATGCCACAAAAAGCACTCAGGCAACATAAAAGTTTCTGACTTATACCGTATAAAGCAAGAAAATTCAAATAACTGCTACAGTACAACATATTTTAGTTAGGATGCTATATGAAAAATAAACCTCTGCAATGCTTAGAAATTCTTTTTTTTTTCATTAGATAATGCGTGGTCAAAGAAATATTGATGGTATAATTCAAAGAAATTTTCCAGGATTCATTTTTATATCCTGAGGGTACAGTGAAGGGTCAACATCATTTTTCTTTACTGTTTGAGTATTAGTTAGATTTAAAATATACATTTTGAGTTTCATCACCTTATTTTATAAGGTAGCTAAATTTAATATATCAGTAGCTTCTTATATATAGTTGAAGAAGTATGCAGTTATATAATGACATATACTGTGTAAAAGCTATATTACTTTAATAAATCTAATGATTATAAATAACTTACAAAAGCCCGACTCCTACATTTTTGGGGCAAATGAACAGATCTGTGAAAAATTACATAATCTGGCTTTTATAGTTATTACTCATTACTCTTACAAATTTAGATTACTTTAAAGAGCAATCCACATGTAGTTATTATTTTATTCAAATTGCAAATGCAGTGGTTATATCTTTAAGTAGCATCCTTTTAAACAAATAAAAAACTATTGGGTTAAAATGTTAACAGCCAAACAATTAATAATACCATCAGCCACTTGAACTGTTAGACTGACAGCTTTAGGCCCACTCACCCCATGCTGAGAAAGCCTTCCCAGAAAGTGCATTTGTAGGAAAAAAATGGGGCAAAGAAAAGTAATGGAGATAAAAGCTGAATGATTTTAATCATTGGGTACTTTATTGATTGTGTGAGAATTTTGCAAAGTGTGAATTATTGAAAATTTAATGGCAATTTCAGTTGCTGCTTTGCTGTAATATAAAAGGAAGCATAATACAATTAATCAGCAGCGCTGTGAAGAGGCAAAAGAAAGAAAGGAAAGTGTGAGTAGGAACCTAATCTTGGATCGGTCCAAGAAGCATCAGAAGAGAGTTCTGGAAATTAAGCGTCCACACTGTGTTCATGCAAATTAAAGAAAGTCCTGCAGTCTGACTCACTGAGGAGAAAGAACAGGAGAAACATAGCTCAGTGTCCAAGATTCTCTCATGCAAAGAGTGTTGACTCAGAGTCTACCAACCTGTTCTTGTAAGGCTGGTTCCATCCAGCCTAAAACCAGCTTTATCTGCTGCTGCCACCAGTGCTTGTGCAAAGCTGCCGCTGGCAAAGATGGAGCCATCTGAGGAGCTACCTACACTAGATCTATGACTAGAAAAGTTACGATCCTCATCAGATGCAGAGCCCCATCCATTTACCATTGAACCTAAAAACAAATGTAGTTGTCTAGTGAGTTGTATACAATGGATAACTTATCTGCTGTACACACTATACTAACAAACAAGTAGTCTGCCTCAGCGCCTTACTTCTCCTTGAAGTCAGTCTGGTTTGATGATGACTGATTTAGCCACTTGCAAGCATCATCTGTGCTCGAAACATCCCACGTGCAGAAAAGAATGAAGTTCAGTTAAAACCTGTATCTCTTAGTACCACCTAAGCAACATATGTTCTACATATTCCATTCCTACATTGTTTAAGTTATATGATCATTTTCCAAAAGAGAATGGCTAAGTTTTCATCCCAAAATGCAGAGAATTTTCTTACTGAAAGAAATTACAGTGCATTTAATTAAATTTATCAAGGACTGAGTTGAATAAATGTGAATAGATTTTGGATTTAATGCAGACGTTAATGGCAATTTGCATGAACTATATACTTGTATATTGCAGAGAGGCTGAATTATTTCAAAATTTTAAAATAAAAATTTAATTACTCAGGAAGCAAACATTCACACAAAATGTATAAAACATATAAAAACAAAAACATTTAGAACACACAAAAATATATCTTTCACAAGTTCTATTAATTTTAATGTTCAGTATTTAACACTTTCTTTGCTTTCTAATTTAATTTCAGGCATCCAGTTTTCTCCTTAATATTGATTTTTATTTTGGAAAATTAACCATTATGAAGAATATCAGTAACATTAATATGAACTTCAAAATGCACTATGGTTATGGAGGAAAGTAATATGTTCTTTGTATAGAGAGTTGCAAAATAAAAGATTCTAAGAAATAATTTTCATCCCTAATTTTTCAGGAAGTCACTTACAATTTTATTTTTTCCCTAAAGTAAAGCATCTTGAGATGAGACAAGCTACTTGATATTGATATTTATTGTAAATAAATATTTACTTAACTACAATGTATGACAATAAAGTAGCAAGAGTTGCATGTCCAAAAAGAAAAAAATTTAGGGAGGCCAAAGTAGCATTTATAAAAGTGAACATAACTTCTAATTAAACCACACACATATCCACATGTTCTATAGATTATTTCCACTTTTCCCCAGAAAAAACAGGAATGTGCATCGTGAGGTATCGGTACTTTCACCAAAGTCCTAGATACAATAACATGGGTTCATGCACTCGCCAATCAGAAAAACCAGAAACCGAAGGGGTTAGAAGGATCACAGAAGTTAAAAGGATGTTAAGTGTAGCAGAGAAAGATAGAGTTTTGATTCTATTTGCCAAGAGCACAGAGATACACTTTTTACTTTCCAAACAAATTCCCTGGACACAGACTACTGCAAGGGAGCCAAGATAACAACAGCAACCAAACCTCCTCGAGAGAACCATTTCTGAGTTAATAATCACCAGTCAAGGATCGACAGCCCAAAATGAAAGGAGAAATGATGCAATAGGCTTTGCAATGGAATGCTCCCGCAGATAAGAACAAATCAAAGCGATCCAGTCAGTGATCACCAAAGAATCTGAAACCCTAGAGCTGAGAAGAGTTTAAAACTCAGTGCCAGTGTCTTCCATGTGCTGTTTCCTGTATTTTTAAATGTCTGCTAACCATCAGCAAATAGATCAGTATCAGCTATCTGAAACTCACTTTCTGAACAAACATCTCCTTTTCTTTATCTCTAATTTCATTCCTAAGCTATTCTTAAATGATTCCCTCTAGTCCCTTTTATCTTCCTCGCTGCCATCTAAGTGAGTTTTTCCGAAACACTTATTATGTAATTTTATTCTTCACTGCAAACCTTCCTTAGTTTGCAGATGCCATATCCAGTCATAGGTATTCGAGCTCCTTCAACATCCATCCCACACACCGTGAAGCCTCAAACGCCCCTTATGTCCCATGGAGTCATCGTCCCTCATCTGCATTCATTGCTTCTTATTCACTCAACACACTTCTAGTTTATTAAGAATTCTATTAGTCACTTACAGTCTCAGTGAGTATGTGAATTTTTACTTCTTTTGAAATCATTCTTATTCATAAAGTTAATTTACTTGGTTTTATTTTTCATAATAAAATCTATAATGTATGCATCACTTTGTCAGTGAACAAATGTTTGTTTCAATTTAAGTAACACTGAATTATCACATTAGCTTCACGTGTGCATTCTTTCAAACCATCAAGTGTAGATACCCTATTAAGTTCACTGTGAAAAGCACAATTCAGGGCCCTCCCTGGTGGCGCAGCGGGTTAAAGCACTGCACTAAGCAGCTAAAGCCACTTCCACATGAGTTTGATCCCCGCCTGCCCTGGAGGAGATCCACATGGTGCTGCAAACCTCTCCTGACCCGCCCGCTGCTCCCCTCAGCAGTGTACTTCATCGATTTGCCTGTTCTCCCTACTCTGTCCCTGGTGAATCCTCTCGCCTTCCTCATGTCTGGCCTGTACCCCAGTTCTGTATGAATAAATAAATAAATCTTTTTTAAAAAAGCACAATTCAATTCTCCATCAAACAACTGACCCCTTTTACCAGATATATCTATCTCCTTTCCTCTTCCCTTGTGATAACCCCTAACTGAGTTTTATAGCCTAAAGTTTTTTTTTAAGTTTATCTGTTTTGTTTCTCAACATAGTGCATGTGAATGAAATATAATATTTGTCTTTCTGCC